TCCTTCCTTCCTTCCTTCCTTCCTTCCTTCCTTTCTTCCTTCCTTTCTCTGAGAATTGAACTCGGTGCACAGCCTTCGTTTTCATGGTCTTGAATGTTTTGCCAGCGAGCATGCTGTGGGCCCAGGACCAGGCATCAGTAGTGGGCCCTAAACAGGCACCCGTTCCTCTTGCTTTAGGCTCTAGCCCTGGGAAATCTGCTCTCAAAGTTGACCCTGAACTTCTGTCCTCATTCTCCTCTGTGAAAATCTCTGAGTGCAAAATTTACTTGAAAACAAAGCATGAGAAATTTGTTCTCCCCGCTGCTGCAGTCACCGGTACAGAACTGCGTGCTCCATTGGTCACCTTCGCCCTCTCACTTTTGCTGCCGGGACGCTCTGAGGAGGCTTCAAAGCTCACTGACAGCAGGTAGAATGAGCTCGGGGTGCCCTGTTTGCAAGTTCCCTTTGGCTCCTTTGGAGCTTTTGGTTGCATATTGAGTATTTTTGGTTGTATATCAAAGAGGCGAAGATATAAACAAATACAATTGAGAACCATCCATCCAGTCTGCTATCTTATCAATACAAGCCCCAGTCTGAGAATACTTCTTGTTTCATTTCATGTTTAAAGATATATTCATGCCTTTGTAGGCTGCCCAAGAGGAATGTTTGGTTTCCAAACATTGTCATTGGAACTGGACAAATGAAATAGAACTGGAAATACAATAGGTGACGTCTTAATCTTCAAACTTTTGGGTCTCCTGTGGTCCCATTTTACAGATTCTTGCGGATAGGCTCAGTCAGTTTCTGTCTCCTACTGAGTGGGAGTGACAGTCACCCCCAGGTCCTTCCTCTGTCCACTCTGGCATGTGATCTTGAGCCATCTTTTTCATTTAGAGAGTGCTTCTGTGCTGCTTGGGCATCCAGAGGCTGCTGGTGAGCACGTGTAATTCCTACTTTGTGTTTAGCAGTCAGAATTCCTATGACATGGGAAACGCATGCAATCTCTCAGTGAAGGAACTGCGAGCTACTGTGGCTTCCACCATCCGCCCTCCCCCCCCTCATAAGGAGAAACAATCTGAATACACGAAATTAGGAAAACATACCCAAAATGGTTGTTTAAAATTCACAGCTGTCAACATCAAGTATTCTGCGTGAGAGAAAGAATGCAAGAAACATCGGGTTAACAAAATAGCCGCAGATGGATCCGGGCGCGGTGAGGACTGGGCGGGCATTGTCCTAGCGCCACTGCGGGCAGGCTCATCTGCATTCCGGGACAAAGGTTCGCTGTTGGAGACCCTTTCTCTTCCCCCTCCTCCTCCCAAAGGCGCCTCGCCACGGGCAGTGAGGGTAGTCTGCCTCCCTCCTCCCATCCGAAACCTACAGGAACGAACACAAATCTGTTATTTTAACACAACGTGGACACAAAGTGGTGTTTTCACTCCGCATAAAGCTGGGGGAAGCCGAAGAATAGGGCCTTTTATTTGTAGGAGATACTCAAAGGAAGTAGGATTGAACCGTAGGCCAGCGTATATGAATAAAGTTGTTAGAGAATTTGCAGCCTGTGGCCTGGGAGCTCCACTGTAAGTTCCCCAACTGTCAGCTTGGAGCACTTTGCCTCAGAATGCATAATTGCATCTGTTAATTACATTTTCAGCCTGGTTCACCAACGTCGAATCAATTCACACTCCCCTCCCCCCACTTTTCGTGCTGCCTTGGAGAGGAGACTTTTTTTCCTTCAATTTAATAAACATGATTGACAACAGAAAATGTAGATTTACTTTCTTCCTATTATGACTGTATATCGAGCCTAAAATGCTCGCATGTCCTTTGTCGATGATGATAAGGCAGCCCGTTAGCAGTCACGTTCATTCTGCAGCTGGTAAGGGCCCCATTCTGTGACTCTTGTGAGAAGAGTCTTGAAAGTAACACAAAGAGATGCTTAAAGCACACAGAGACTAAAGACATTTTAAGAACCGTATCTAAAGCAAAATGGCGACAGAATGGCCACAACCAGCCTCCGACACCAGGACTTGGAGCTCTGAGGCAGCCATCCCTGGACACATTAAGTGGATAGAGCTGGAATGCCTGTCTTCTAACAACGCCTCTGAACATTGAAGCCTTGGAGTTTGCCCCGTTGAGTAGCTCCTTCACCCTAGCCCAATGTCATAAAGGCTGTTAGTGAGAAAACTGGAGTTGCATCCATCCTAGCCTACCTGGAGGAGAGGTTAGGACTGTGGGAGGGAGCCCAGGGTCCCCTCCTTTTCCTTCCCCTCCTCCACTTCTCATGGTCCCAGAAGAAAGCAGAGAGAGTCTACTTACTAGCATTTGCACTTAGTTTGTTCTCTAAATCTTCCTGTGCTAGAATCTACTTATGGCAAATTTGAGGCATGGAACTTTTAAGACAAGAGGCCTAGTGGAAAGTGCTGAGATCCTGGGGGCTCCCTCCAGCATGCATAGATGAATGTTGGGCTCCTCGTGTGGGTATAGGTTGATCTTACAGGAATCAGTTAGTTCTTGAGACAGTGGGTTGTTACAAAGCAAGAGTACCCCATGTGCTCGGCCCCTGCTGCATGAGGCTGGTTCCCCTTCTGTCTCTCTACCCCATTATGTTGCAGCCAAGGGATGCTGTCCCCAGGCCACTTGAGTTCTCCAGCCACCAGAACCATCAGCCAGTTAGACCTCTTTTCTTGATACATTACCTAGCATCAGGTATTTGGTTATAGCAACACAAAATAAGCCCAGGCACTATCTTCTCCTTATGTAGAGGGCAAAACACAGGAAAGATGACTAACTAAAGTGAGAACCCCATGGATGATGATATGATTTCTGAGGCCATAGCATGAGGTGCCATGAGTCTGGTGGTGATGACTATCAAGCCCAGCTCTGGACAGTAGCTCTGTGATGTCACTGAGAGCTTCGATCAAGCTCCTTAAATCAGGGGCTCCTTCAGAAGCTCCCTGCTGCTATTGTTTCTATTGGCCCTAATCCCAGGCACCAGCAGCAAGATTAATTACTGTTTTCTTTTTAACTACCAGAGAAGCCCTCATATTTCAAGAGAGGTAGGAGAGGAAGTAAATCTTGCAGAGCATACACGTTCTCCTTGTCTCCCTGGGGCTCTGACTGTCAGACCTAAACTTATACTGTGGTTCTAAGAGTGCAAAAATCCACATTAGTTTGCTTTCCGTTGCTGTAATAAAACACCAGAGGTAATAACCACTTACACAGAGAGGGTTTATTTGGGCTCACTCTTTTGGAGGTGTCAGTCCATGCTTTGGGGCCTATGGTGAGGTAGTACCTGAGAGCAGAAACATATGGCAGAGCAAAGTCACTTACATCATAAGCCATGGAGTAAGAATATTGAGAAAACTGGTAGAGTTGCACAGTCCCCTTCAGGGACACCCACAACAACTCTCTCTGGTGGCAGGAGACTTCTTAAAGGATCCACCCACCACCCCTGCCCCCAAGCCTAAGGATCAAACGTCTAGCAGATGGGGCTTTTGGGACATTCACTATCCAAAGTCAGGCATGGGCAGAAGAGGAGTCTGGGGGCCCTGAGCCAGCACTCACCTCTGGCAGCTGCTGGGGACACATCAGAGCCCTGATGTCTTGTGTCCTGGGCCCAGTGAGGAGTCAGAGGTCGTGATGTGAGAGAGCTCTATGAACTCCAGCTTCTTTTATGGCTGATCAGGCAGGCCCTGCCCCTCTCCTGCCAGGAAAACTATTGGTGGGAGTTTGGTTTTGTTTTTCAACTGTAAGCAAATATTTATTGAGACCTTACCCCTGACAAGACTCTTGAAAACCAGAGATCAAATCACGTCACTCTGCTGTTTGGAACACAGCAAGATTTCCTATCACATCTAGATTCATGTTCAAAGCCCTTCCTGTGGCCAACACAGCTGGATGCAATGGGAGCCTTATGTCTCCCTTCCTCATTTCCTTCCACCTCCACTTGTCCCTTAGCTCTGGCTGACCTCAGTGCTTCTCAAACCTGTTAACTTCCGTGTCACTTCAGGGCCTTTGGACATGCTCCTGCGCAGCCTGGATAACACAGCATCTTTCATTCCCCCACAGGTCTCTGTTCTAATATCTTCTCCACAGAAAGTCTTCAGTGGTGACACACTCTCTAAAATGTCTGTCACCTGTAATCTTCCTTTACTTCCTCTGCTTTAAGGCTCTTCCTGGCTCTCATTAGAAAGAGAAATGATTACAAATATGTGTGGGTGAGAGTGTGTGGGGTGTGTGTGTGTGTGTGTGTGTGTGTGTGTGTGTGAGAGAGAGAGAGAGAGAGAGAGAGAGAGAGAGAGAGAGAGAGAGAGTTTGATGCTGTTCCTCACCAGAACACATGCTCTGTTAGGCATATTGTGTCCATGGCTGCATGCTCCTCACCTATACTGGCACTTAATAGGTCTCAAGCTAAAGTGGTGGGATGAATGCAAAGCATGAGGATGCAAAGAAGAGAAGAAATCCAGGGCCAAAAGTCCTGTCCTGTATGTGGTGGGATTTGCCTCAGAAGAGATCAAGAATAGTTAATATAGCAACTGTTGCTTTGCCATTTAGTGTGAAAGACTGAGATGCTGCTATTTCATTATCATGAGAAGGCTTGTCAACATGAAGATCTGGTTTTGAGGGCTTTGTTTGGGCCAGGAGTGTGTTGGCGTGAGACCTCTGAGGCCCCGGGTTCATAAAGCCAGAGACTTTCCGAGATACACACCGGAAGAGCTGCCCAACTCCCAGGAACTTACTCCATGGCTACATTTGAGTTACCCAGGCTCTTTCCTACCTCCTTTCTATATGCAGATCAAATAAGCCCCATGGTGCCTGCTCTCCTCCTCATTGATTGGTGGAGAATGATCATCTCACCCAAGCTGAGCCAATATCCCAACTTTAGTCCAAAGGTAGCCAGCAGCCTTCTTCAGGCCTGTCAGGGTCCTCCCCAGGGGATTTTCCAGCTGGAGCTAAAGCCAGAACTGTTTACCTTTCTAGTTACAAAGCTGTGAAGAAGAGAGGCCAGGAAGAGCCAATAAGGAAGGTTGTAACTTCATGGCAACAGCCACAGGCCCAGAGATGCCAAGACAACACTTAGTGATGGAGACAGAGAGATAAAGAGAGACTTTCCAGACACTCACCACATTCCTTTCCTTGCCTGTCCCTGTGAGCCACTAAATCCCCCTTCAGCCTAAAGTAGCTCAAGCTGGGTTTGTTTTATCAACCAAAAGCTTTATTTAAACTAGTTATCTCATTGTTATAGAGTAAATACATAAATTTAATTTAGAAATTCAAACAGTTCAAGAGATTAAAAATGAAAAGTGGTCATCCTCTAGCCCACTAGCTCCTGCCCCTCCCCTACTCCTGACTTTCATTCTTAGAGGTAACCCACAACCACTTGTTAAACTTATTATCCTCCCAACTGTCATCTGACAACTTCTGGCAAGCATTCTGAAAAGCAGCAGAAAATCCTTTGTAATTTTGATTTATCTGATTGTAATATATATTACTCTTGTAGATTTTCAAACAATGGGTTATTCAACCATTTATTTCAGTCAGCTTTGTCTGCATTAGTAAATGTTTTGACATTAGCCATTTATTTCAGAGATGAATGATTCATTTGGGTATTTCTCAACAACATAAAATAATACTCTGAGTGAAGGCCTGGCTGGTTTTTGGCAGGGCCTGACTTATTCATCCGCACATTCTTCATCCTGCTCTGTGTGCTGTGCGCAGAGTAGGGGCACAGTGTGTGTCGGAATGGATGAAGAATTTAGTGAAAAGCAGCCTGGGGCAGAAGGGGAGAGAAGGAAGCTTTACTGAGCTCCAGTCACAGAACCTGAAACTCAGCATGCTTTAGCTGTGTAGCCTTGGTGTATGTACCTCTGAGTAACTCTCATTCTTCCCCCTTCTCCAACTAGCTCTTCAGTTCTTCACTTTGTGTTGTACCTGCTCCCTGGCTAACAGATTCATTTGGCATAGGTGAGTCTACCTTGGTTTCTGCTACTTATAATCAAGAAGTCTGACAGAGAAACCAGTGTATCAAAAGTAGGGTGAACGGAAGGGGCAGGAAAAAGACAGGCACAGCCCCCTCGTAAATGGGGCAGACGAAGGCACAGCTCCATGGAGTACACTTTGCTTCAGGCCACAGAACTGGGAAGTGGCCAAACAGGAATCAAGTCAGGTCTGTCAAGGTACAAACGTTTGGCCCATTCCAGCCTTCTGTAGCCAGGTGCCAAGAATCTGACCCAGGAAAATATTGTTTCTAGAGGGCAAAGAAAGCATGACCTAACTTGAATGGTTCTCCCCCAAGAAGTTGATCTGTAACGTGTTTTTCAGACGACTTCTGAAAGTCTGTAAGTTTTATCCTTGGAGAATTTTCTGAACCCTTTGCTAATGAGCCAGTGTGTCCTAGACACTTGGAAAAAGATATGCAGAAGAGACAGTTCATGAAAGAACAAGCACTATTCTTGTATTTGTCGTCTGTCTACTTGTTCATTAGGGTTTCATTTTCCTTCTCTTGTCATTACCAAGTAGGAAAAACAAAAGCATCATTTCCCTAATACATGTCAATCATTCATTGGTTTGTAGTAAAATATTTATTTTACATAACATTATGTAGTGATCAAAAAGCAAATTGCTCAGGAGCCAGATTTCCTGGATTTGAACACCAGCTCTGTTACTGGCTGTGTGACATTCTTGTATGCGATAAGTTACTTACCATCTCTGATTTTTTTTTCATCTGTTAAATGAGTATAATAGAATCCTTACTCTTGGCATCGTTATGAAGATGAAAATGTTAGCATAGGTGAAATACTTAGAATATGACCTGGCACATATTAGGCACACATATTTCCTATCACTGTTATTCCTCAATTTATTATTTTAATTTTGTGTGTATGTGGAGTCAAACAGCAAACCTGGAGTTTTGTGCCTACCAGACAAGCATTCATCCACCAACCTACATCCCTAGCTTTATTATTTTAATTGCTTAAAAGATACTCAATGAGAATCTAAGCAGATGTAATGAGTTTAAAATTCTATAAATATGTGGAGTCTAGGGAGGGGTTGAGAGAGGTGGTTCAGTTTGTGAGTAAGGGACAGGTCTCAAAGTACAAAAGTAGCATAAGAACCCTGTTTCATGAATATTCTCATTATTCTTTTCTCGTTGACATGATTCCATGTTTAGCTGCATAGCATTAGGCAATATTTAGGAAGTTCAGGAAAGGGCAATTTAGAAAGATCAGACTCAATGATCTTAAATTCGTGATGTGTGGTTCAGTGAAAATGTAAGTAGGTCAAATACCTCGAACATTAAATTAGCTGAAATTTTGCAAGCTATTATATCGGATATTACTGTTTGAACATTTTGTATAAACTGGAGTAATGCACACTTGTCTTGATGGGATGAGTCCAGACTTAGAACTAATTCTGGTGAATTAAGAATTGTATTTTCCAGGAATTAACTACCACAATTTGACTGCAGCTGTAAAAATTTTATTAGGCAATACATCTGACCTCAAATTGGAAATTTGTGTTGGAACCAGTTTAGGAAATAATTACTGCTGTGTTGTTAATTTTATATTTGCCTAATAAAACACAGCAGGAACAGGGTTTGGTGCATGTAACAAAAGAAAGCCTGTGGATGTGCTTTAAATGAGTGTTTGTCACCAAGCTGGAACTAGGAACGTGCTTCTTGGATGAGCAGCGTAGGGGCTGACGTTGAAGAATTAACAGCTCATAGTTATCGCATTATGGAAGAGAAGCATGCTATGTTCTTTATATCATTTCCACCAGCAAATACGAAGTATCTCTGTGTGCATATCTTCATCGGTTTGTTTTGGGAAAGTTTAACTTCCCACCCACTTAGATGCTCACAAGCACACGCATGTCTGCACACATACACATTGATATAGACAGTCTTGAGTCTACTGGCTTGTTCCTGCCTGTCCAGATGGCATCTTGAAGGGTACCGCCAGGGAAAGGCCAGCTTCTCTTGGAAGCAAAAAAAAGCACATGTGTTTGTTATACTGTGTCATGGAAGTATATAAATTGGTATTTATGCTTCCCTGTGCTTGTTTCATCTTCTAGTCTCTTCTAGCATCATCTAGAATTTTCTATTAGTTTTCAGTCTCATCTTGAAGACATAACTTGGAGTCCATAAAGTAAGTCAGTGGCTACTTGCTATTGATACCTATGGGCCAATGATAGCCAAAAGCCAAAATACAAATTGTCTTAGAAGACATCAAATAACAGGTATCACCAGGAAGTCCTAGCCAGCAGTAGGATATTGTTACAATTATCACTCATACTCACTTTCATTTTTACCACAGATTGGGAAGGATTTGGGCTCAGTCTTTTTCTTTTTTTTTTTTTTTCAGTACAGTGGGCTTTATTAATGGTGTGCAATAGCAGTGAGCCAGGACTCCCGAGGCTCCTTCCCTTCTAGGGGGCCTGGGATTGAAGCTGTGAGGGGAGATTCTCCGTGTTGGGGCTGAGTAGGGCAGTAGCTTCTACGGCATGGCCTCTCCGTCCCTCTGGTCTTGCTAGGCTGTGGTGGGGGGCCATGAAGTCCACCACCCTGTTGCTGTAGCTGAACTCACTGTCATACCAGGAAATGACCTTGACAAAGTACTCATTCAAGGCAATGCC